CAGTCTCCTTTTCTCTAGCCTTACCTTGCTCACCATCGCTTTTTACTTCCTCTTCCTCAGAGTCATCCATCATTTGAGGCCATAGTACGAGCGTGGGAGTGTAACAATCTACTCCTTTACCATCTCCAAGAACTCCACTTCTTCCCCTACCCCAAGACCACATTCTATATCCCCCTTGCGCAATTATAACAGTATGTGCGGCCCCACATGCAAGTTTAACTGGATCTGGAAATTTAGGTTGATTTGGCTTCCATGACATAAGACGGGGAGACAGTGCATCACCAGAATCTGTTCCAGCTCGACTAGCATCAGGGCATAAGCCAAGACCCTTCTCCATTCCCCATGATTACACATCCCCATCTGAGGAAACTACGCTTGTATGAAACAAACCACAGTCAACACAAATAAGGGATACATTTTGTGGCAATTCTTTAACAGGTGTAGGAAATAATGTGCTTTGTGTTGTTCCATGCCCAAGCTGGCCATTATCTCCAAGGCCAAAGGTCCAGCATCTGCTGTCTAATGTGTCACTACTACTTTTCTTTATACGAGTTAGCAAAGCAGTGTGATAGGCACCACATGCCACCTCATAGGGTGATTCCTCATCAAATGTTTTAACAACTTCCGGATGCAGCCTGTTCTCTCTTTCCCCCAAGCCCAATTGGCCACGGGTGTTATAACCCCAAGAGTAGCATACTAGATCTTCACCATTGTATGATTCGCCAGCACTAACCAGAGCTACGATATGCTCATTTCCACATGCAACCTTGACAACAGATCGACCCAGAAAATCCCGAACTGGAGTTGGAGTGAAACTGCTTACAAGTGCTAACTCACCTTCTTTACTTTGTTGTGGACAGTTTCCCCACATCCATAGGGTCCCACAGTTATCAATAGCCAGAGATATCATTCCTCCAGCTTTGATAGCACATATCTGTGAAAGTTAAACATTGTGAAGTCACCTTGTTTTCCACTTTAGATTAAGAAAATGAATGCAATTCGTGTTATACCTTAAGTAATGTTTTGGCTTCTGTTTCAGACACACTCGATGAAGAATTGACAGAGTGCAATTCAACAAACCTGTTCAGTAACCGGGGAACTAAACAATGGTCTCCAACCTCATATTCATTGTCATGTGATTTCTCTCCATTTGTACCAAGTTGACCATCCATACATTAGTCAAGGGTGTAGGTGCCAGTACAGAACATAAATTCAACAAACTGCTAAAGTAAAAACAAGCAATATATATTAACTGAGATGAACCAATGGATTCCAAGTAAGGATACAGAAATTGTAACCCCAAGACCAAACAGCTCCATCTTCTGCCAACACAGACTGAAGAATTAGATGGCGGAATACCTTCAAATTCAAATAAAAAGAACCAGCCTAAGTTACAATAGCTATGTTTCATATCTGTTTGACAAATCTAAATTCAAGCATACACTTATCACTCTCATGAAGGTTTAGCAACAAGGTTACTAATAATTGGGAAACTTTAGCTAGACTTACCATCAAGGGAAAAAGATTCAAATCTGGAAATCTGAGTTAGCAGACAACAGTTTATGATTTGACTTCTGCGTTCACATTTCAGCAAACAACAATGAAAATGAAATTATACTGCAGGAGGTTGGCCACCTGCTCATTATGGAGCATTTAAGATGAAAATTAATTTCTCCAAAAATAAGATGAACTGTTCCTCTTAATAACAATAAGCTGAGGAAGTAAGTTACTATATTCTGATAAATTTTTATTTGTTCTTGTCCAGGTGACCTAAGAATTCAGCAAAAGAGAAACAAGGTCTGATGTACTAAATTTTATTCTTGAACAAAAATCAATTTTGGAGTTTATTTAATCTATTTCTCACCAGCACGTTATACCACAATTTTTAATCAGAAGACAAATTTCAAAAAATGATAGATCTATTCAAGGAACAACACTTAAAGACACTCAAAAAACTGCACTCGAGTTTTCTTTCTCTAGATAGAACAAAACTTACATGCAGTTAGCTTGCAGTTTTGTTATCTTAATAAAATTGAAACTGTATCTTGATAATTTANGAAAACAACTTTTATGAAGATTACTTGAGATTTTGAAAACAACTTATGACTCCTAGAAACTCTTTGAAAAGAGCTATAAGTTTCTTGGTAAAGATTATCAAGATAAAGTACTTGGTCAAGTTGTTTGTCTAAACACACCCTTAGACTCATGATTTTAAAGATGAAACATCATAAATTTATTTCTGAACATTTGTATGTTGTGTATTTCTTTGCATGATGAAATTCTCTTAATTGATTAGAGATAGCAGGTTCATTTATGCGTGTGATTGTTTTTCGTGTTTTCTGGTTATCTGCATTAATTGAATGCCCATGTCATGAACTAACTTAGTTTACTGTGTTATCCAATCCTAGGTTTGGAGTCCTCAAGCAAATCAGGAAGGATATGCTCCATCTGCTGTTGATGTTTTGCGGATTATAAATGAGACATTGGATGCTTTCTTTCAGCTTCCGATACCCATGCATCCTGCAATGCTTCCGGAAGTGATGAATGGCCTTGACAAATGCCTTCAGTATTATGTCATCAAAGCAAAATCTGGCTGTGGTAAATGATTTTGGAATTTTATAGTTGAGCACCGGAGTCTGATATTTGGCATCTTTAGTAACTATCTTTGTTTTAATATTCAGGATCACGAAACACATTTCTTCCAACAATGCCAGCGTTGACCAGGTGCACTATCGGTTCAAAGTTTCAGGGATTTGGCAAGAAAAAAGATAAATCTCCAAATCCTCAGAAGAGAAACCCTCAGGTTGCAACAAATGGGGATAGCTCTTCTGGAATACCACAACTCTGTGTTCGCATTAATACTTTGCAATGGATCCTGGGTGAATTTGATGTTCTGGAAAAGAGAATAATTACCCTTCTACGGAACTCTGAATCTGCTCATGTGGAAGATTTTTCAAATGGATTAGCAAAGAAGTTTGAACTATCTCCAGCTGCGTGTCTTGAAGGAATTCAGCAACTCTGCGAGGCTGCAGCCTATAGAGTTGTCTTTCATGATCTAAGCCATGTCTTATTGGATGGTTTGTACGTTGGGGATCCAGCATCTTCAAGAATTGAGCCATACCTTCAGGAACTTGAACGGAAATTAATGTTCATTTCAGATACTGTTCATGAAAGAATTCGCACACGAATTGTTACTGAAATAATGAGAGCTTCCTTTGATGGATTCTTGCTTGTATTGCTTGCTGGAGGTCCCTCCCGTGCTTTTAACCGGAAGGATTCTCAGATCATCGAGGATGATTTCAAATTTCTGAAGGAATTGTTTTGGGCAAATGGGGATGGCTTGCCTTCTGAATTAATAGATAAGTTTTCAACAACTGCGAGGTCTATCCTTCCCCTTTTCAGAACTGACACAGAGACCCTCATAGAGCAGTTTAGACGGTTGACCATGGAGACATATAAATCCTCCGCCAGGTCTAAACTTCCATTACCTCCCACCTCAGGACAGTGGAATCCGTCAGAACCAAACACATTGTTACGTGTGTTATGTTATAGAAATGATGAATCAGCTTCCAAGTTTCTGAAAAAGGCATATGATCTACCTAAGAAACTTTGACAACCCTGAGAACTAGTTAATGGAATGGCAAACTGAGATGTACTTGGGAGTGGGAGATGCGATCTGTTAACTGTCTGGTTCTGCTGGTGTTAAGTGCAACGTTGCCAAGCAGGTAATTTGTGTGAATTGTTCAGCAAGACCTACGTCAGGATGGGGCCGTCCTGTAAGACATTGGGAATATTGTCGAGAGGCTTAGTGCTATCGGCAGCGTATTCTCCAAGTCTGAAGTGAGGCAGCATAAATGTGGGCCATGATTATGGCTGGCTTATTTGGGAAGGTAGTTGAATATTCTTTCTGATTCATTAATTATTACTAGAGATATCTCACGGTGGTTTATTCTGCGTTTATCTTAATTTTTTTTATTTAGAGTTCTCTCTATAATATGAAAATGAGATATCCTACGTTCTCATTATTCTTTTGTTACATTCCTTTGGATTGGGTTGCCCCTTCTACTAGTATGAAATGCAGGAATTGTATAATAGCCCATTTGTTGATTGAAGTTTATGCAACTTTTTCTTAGTATGAATGAAAAGGCCGGCATTGATTGTAAACTGGGATTTAACATTGTATATATATGCTAATGCAGCACTCTTATGTAATACATATATCCTTCTTTAGTCAGACATGTTTGGTTTTTTGACTTATCCGAAGGAAGTTTCTGGTATGGAATGTTGAGATGTGCCATGTGTGGACAGCTAAAGCACCTTTAGGTGCTTGATTATTGAGAACGCAATGCCGGGTACACATTATCCAGCGGGACCCGAACAATTGATTGCTCTCATTGTATCTATCATATACAATTTTACACTTTAGTGACCCACCAAAATAATAAAAAATAAGAAAGTTATAGCCGAAGTTATATAAATGCCGCGATGACAAACAAGTTTCTGAATTATTTATAGGCACTTGTACCAGCAAATTCATTTAGATTTACACTTGTGTTTTGATACAAAAAGAAGTAAGAATAGCTTGTGAAATGTAGAAGTGAAAAACGAAAAGAAGTATAAAATCTTGGTAGTATAAAAATGTATTGTGGATCAGGAAATTGTAGATATGAAAAATCACAATATATTCTGTTTTTCTGGTTTGATAAAAATATAAAATGAAACGTATGCTGTAATAATTTTTTTTTCCGGTTTTATATCTGGTATTGTAAAACTAAGAATGTGACAAAATTGATACGCAAATTAACGATATTGTCATTTTCGGTTTGTTTCTGCGGGTTCCACTGGCATTAAACACGTAAGGGTCATTTGTGTAATGGAAGGGAGGTGAGGTTTGGGTTGGAGATTGTAATACAGGTTGTGGTATCGAATTAAACTAGTGCAAAATAAAATGATCAACTAGGGTGAGTAGTAAATGGGCATACCAATGGTGCAAAATGGAATGATCAAATAGCTTATTACTTTTTAGGTGAAATACTTTTGTTCCGAATGGTATCATGTTTTACATTTAGATACTGTTTTTACACCTCTGAAGATTGGAGACACTCCTTTACAATTTCCTTTATCCTTCTCTTCATTAGTTCATCTTTTACTCCAGCAAGCATGTCTCGGTAAAACATTTCCAACCTAATTAGCTTCCTATGATCTGCGGTCTCTAACATCTTCTCCCATTCTTTTCCCATGTCAAATGAACCTGAATTCTGCAATGAATCAGGGATATCTTGCTCATCAAAGGGCTTTCCAAAAACCGAACCATGCAGAATACTGGCATAATTTTTAATCACAGATAGCTTTGTTTTAAGCAGCTTCAGCTCATTCAATGCTGAGGATAGTTTCTCTTCTGCTTCATTTGTTGCTTCAGTCTCCTTTTCTCTAGCCTTACCTTGCTCACCATCGCTTTTTACTTCCTCTTCCTCAGAGTCATCCATCATTTGAGGCCATAGTACGAGCGTGGGAGTGTAACAATCTACTCCTTTACCATCTCCAAGAACTCCACTTCTTCCCCTACCCCAAGACCACATTCTATATCCCCCTTGCGCAATTATAACAGTATGTGCGGCCCCACATGCAAGTTTAACTGGATCTGGAAATTTAGGTTGATTTGGCTTCCATGACATAAGACGGGGAGACAGTGCATCACCAGAATCTGTTCCAGCTCGACTAGCATCAGGGCATAAGCCAAGACCCTTCTCCATTCCCCATGACCACACATCCCCATCTGAGGAAACTACGCTTGTATGAAACAAACCACAGTCAACACAAATAAGGGATACATTTTGTGGCAATTCTTTAACAGGTGTAGGAAATAATGTGCTTTGTGTTGTTCCATGCCCAAGCTGGCCATTATCTCCAAGGCCAAAGGTCCAGCATCTGCTGTCTAATGTGTCACTACTACTTTTCTTTATACGAGTTAGCAAAGCAGTGTGATAGGCACCACATGCCACCTCATAGGGTGATTCCTCATCAAATGTTTTAACAACTTCCGGATGCAGCCTGTTCTCTCTATCCCCCAAGCCCAATTGGCCACGGGTGTTATAACCCCAAGAGTAGCATACTAGATCTTCACCATTGTATGATTCGCCAGCACTAACCAGAGCTACGATATGCTCATTTCCACATGCAACCTTGACAACAGATCGACCCAGAAAATCCCGAACTGGAGTTGGAGTGAAACTGCTTACAAGTGCTAACTCACCTTCTTTACTTTGTTGTGGACAGTTTCCCCACATCCATAGGGTCCCACAGTTATCAATAGCCAGAGATATCATTCCTCCAGCTTTGATAGCACATATCTGTGAAAGTTAAACAGTGTGAAGTCACCTTGATTTCCACTTTAGATTAAGAAAATGAATGCAATTCGTGTTATACCTTAAGTAATGTTTTGGCTTCTGTTTCAGACACACTCGATGAAGAATTGACAGAGTGCAATTCAACAAACCTGTTCAGTAACCGGGGAACTAAACAATGGTCTCCAACCTCATATTCATTGTCATGTGATTTCTCTCCATTTGTACCAAGTTGACCATCCATACATTAGTCAAGGGTGTAGGTGCCAGTACAGAACATAAATTCAACAAACTGCTAAAGTAAAAACAAGCTATATATATTAACTGAGATGAACCAATGGATTCCAAGTAAGGATACAGAAATTGTAACCCCAAGACCAAACAGCTCCATCTTCTGCCAACACAGACTGAAGAATTAGATGGCGGAATACCTTCAAATTCAAATAAAAAGAACCAGCCTAAGTTACAATAGCTATGTTTCATATCTGTTTGACAAATCTAAATTCAAGCATACACTTATCACTCTCATGAAGGTTTAGCAACAAGGTTACTAATAATTGGGAAACTTTAGCTAGACTTACCATCAAGGGAAAAAGATTCAAATCTGGAAATCTGAGTTAGCAGACAACAGTTTATGATTTGACTTCTGCGTTCACATTTCAGCAAACAACAATGAAAATGAAATTATACTGCAGGAGGTTGGCCACCTGCTCATTATGGAGCATTTAAGATGAAAATTAATTTCTCCAAAAATAAGATGAACTGTTCCTCTTAATAACAATAAGCTGAGGAAGTAAGTTACTATATTCTGATAAATTTTTATTTGTTCTTGTCCAGTTGACCTAAGAATTCAGCAAAAGAGAAACAAGGTCTGATGTACTAAATTTTATTCTTGAACAAAAATCAATTTTGGAGTTTATTTAATCTATTTCTCACCAGCACGTTATACCACAATTTTTAATCAGAAGACAAATTTCAAAAAATGATAGATCTATTCAAGGAACAACACTTAAAGACACTCAAAAAACTGCACTCGAGTTTTCTTTCTCTAGATAGAACAAAACTTACATGCAGTTAGCTTGCAGTTTTGTTATCTTAATAAAATTGAAACTGTATCTTGATAATTTATATTGACCATTTATGCAAACATTTATTGTGCAAATTTAGAAGACGAGATTATATATCTCATTGGAGTACATGACTAATAGCATCCAAAGAAATGCAGCTAAGTTTTGTCCATGGGATATCTATATAAAAAGGGGGAAATTGAAAGGTGTGAAGTATTGGAAAGCACTGAAAGATGTGAACCTGCAAGAGCGAGACTATGATAAGCGCCAGCAGCAATTCCCACGATCTTGACAGTGTCTTGTGTTCCATTTGGATTTGCGTTTCCAAATTTGAGTTGTACTGGAAAAAGCTCATCCGTTTCTGAGCCACTCCCAATCCTTCCAAACATTCCCCTGCCCCAACTGTAGACACTGCCATCCCCTGCAAACCACAGCAACAATTCAACCCTCAGCTCAAGCTTCACACAAACAATGAAATTTGAAATTTCAATTTTCTTTCACAAAAAAAAAATGAATTGGGATACTCACCAGTAAGAACGAGATTGTGTGCTTCTCCGGCAGCCAAATCAACCACCTTACGCGATGGGTTGCCGGACTTCAGAGGTTTCCCGGCGTCTTCCATTGCTTCCGATGAGAACTCTCAAAGCCACAACACAAGGCTCTGTTTATCCCAAAGTACGTAAATACATAGCTCAATACGAGACACGAAAATATAAAAATAAAACACAAATGATATTTTACTCTCACAAATAAATCTAAAAGATGACAAGAAAAAAATATATTAGCGTTAACTTAAAATTTATAAGAAATATAATTATTTTTGTTTTAAATTAACTAATATTATACAAGATTGTAAATATTTTTATTATTAAATCAATCCATTTATATTATCTTTAAATATTTAAGAATGATTTAATATTTTAATTTATAATCTTTGAAAAACATCAATTTTAACTTCATATATTTAAAATACTAATTTATTGATTTTATATGATTTACATTTATTTTTCATTTATTCAAACAGGCGTATAATCTGCCAAATACTTGTTTAATATATAAAACTTTACATACTAGAAACTTGTCTCATATAATAAGTTAGACCAATTATCCTCTTAAATTTTAAAACTAAACTAATGAATCTAATGTTTAAAATAAAAAATTTACTAAAAAAACACATGAATGCAGTTTGAAAGAACCTTTCGTTCGTTTTTAAGTCAATAAATTTTATTTCATTTGATTTAATATAAAACTTGTGGAAACGTTATGTCTATTTATTTAGCTCTTATTTTTTTTAATTTTTAATCTTTTAAATAAATAATCTAAATGAAATAGGAATTGAATTTCTATAATACTTGTAAAAATAGTTCATCTATTACTATTATTATTTAAAATAGAAAAAAGTGTGTACATAAAAAAGCTAACTAAAAAAACAACTTCAAGTGTATTTTCTTTATTAATTTTATAGATTATAGATATGAATAAATAATTCTTTCATTAAATTTCAAATAAGTTTTTAAAATAAATATTTTTTGAAAATTAAAATATTACTAAATACATTTTAATTTATATTTGAGATTTATCTGGAAAAGGACCGTTACTCTTAAGCCATTTCATTTAAAAAGAATAAAATGTACATGTCATAACGTTCTATATCTTTATTTTTAATAATATGAAAGGATGGAATTAAGTTAACATTTACAATTTAGTTTCATTTAATTTAAGGTTTGGTGCAATCAACGAAAAATAATTTTAAACAAACAAATATTGCAAAAATATTCTATTTTCAATAAATTCCAAAATAAAGTTTAAACAAGTATATTTACGCAATGCATTAAACAAGGCCATTTCAAAATAATCTGTATTCTTAAAATTTAGCAAGTCCCTCGAAATGAGTTCTATTTATTCAAAAAAATGAAAATTTTCAATTTTCTCAAAATCAACATTATAAGTAATGATTAATTTTTTGAATCAGTATGTTTTCTGTCTTTCATCTTTCTCCTGGTAAAAAACCTCCGTGGTGTCCAACTATGTCTTTTTTCCATTTTGAAAAGAACCAAACTGCAAAGTATGTTTAGTGAAAACAAAAGGAAGGAAACTGTTGCTGCAGAGGATAAAAGAAGTATGAACTACAGAAACAATACACAAGTATTCTGACTAATCATAGTTTCAACATAAACAGTTTCAGTTAATTGTGATTATGATTCTTTAACCACACATCAAACATTATATTATATGTACATGAAACTCAGCCAGTGCAGAGCCCCCCAGCAGGTTCTCCGATGTCATCTTCACTAACATACGCAGAAAGGTTCAGATATTGATCTTGCTCCGCCGTATCCCTCCACCTTGCTCTACAAATCACACAACTAGCCGATCTTCTTCCCCTTGTTCTCTTCCACCTCATCAAGCACTCTTCATGAACAGGGTTACGACATGTCCCACATGCAACCAGCTTTTGCTCCTTCTCCATTTCTTCAAGGCAAACCGGGCACGTCGCACCCTCCTCCGTCTCTATCTTTGGCCTCCTTGACCCTCCACCGAAGAACAGTTGGTGGAACCTCTGCCGGAGGGTGCCGCCCGCCACTGCCTCCGGCAACGTGGGCTTGCCGAGGAGACGTTGGAGCTGGCAGGGACGAAGGGTCCTCCTCCTTAGACAGACATCATCAAGGGACACGCCCAGAACTCGAATGAAAACAAAGAGAATGTGCTTGCATGGGGTTGTACGATCAGGGCAGGTGCAGGAGGGGGTGGAGGAGAGGGTGACCGTGTAGACGTTACCGGTGGCACCGAATATGAAGAAGGTGGAGCCGGCACGGTGGAGGAGGCGGAGACGGTGGCGGAGGGCACGGACTATTCGGTCGGAGATGGGTTGGCTGGGTTTGAACCTAGGCGGGTGGTGGTGGTGGTGGTTGTTATTATGGTTAGGATGAGAGTTTGAATTGGAGGCATGGGATTCCATTGTTGAAAAGGAAAGAGGGAAATTAAGGTTGTTGGTTAGGATAAGGAGAATATGTTGTTGGTGGAGGGTTATGTAGAAGAGGTGTGGCTGGGATTCGTTGTGTAGTTTTGGGGGACACGTGAAGGAATAAGAATGGATGATGGGGCAGGGAATTTTGTAATGTGTACAATTCCAAACCTTTACTTGCCAACTTCCCTTTTCTCCCTACAATGGTGGTAAACCATGCAGCACGCTTTAGCAATTCACCCCAAAACCTGCAACTCATACGTACAATGCACACTTTCTTCTTTACTTCATCATCATAAGATTAACTAACACCTATGAAATTTCTACCATACTATCTTGACTTCCTATGAGGAGTTCTTATGCAGTTTGTTTAAAGTATAAGAACAGATCCAGATACTTGTCAAGTTATTACAAATGCTTACACTCTAGTGAATCTGCTCTTCGAATTGATTGGATATAGTGACAAAGTGGGACCAGAGTCTCTTCTACTCGCTTGTTTTTCAGTCAGGAATTTTTCTCTTCTGTGAAAAGAAAAATTAAATATAAAGTCCACAACAAAAAGAAAGAACAAAATATTTTCTAAAATAAATCTAACGTTGTTGGAAGTTTTCTAATAAGGAACACATTGGAATTGCGCAACTCTGTAATTCTTATGCAGGTTCTGTTACGATAAATTATTTTTTTTCCTTTATGTATACTACAAAAGCAATTTTTTACAGACGTAATAATATGTAAGAAAAGCATCAAATCAATTAAAAATGGGATATTACTCACGAATTATATACAAAAATAATTTTATATGTATAAGAGACATAGGTACATTCACATTCAGCATAAATAATACTACATATTAAATAATCCATAAATAAGGTTATGAAATAATTCGTTGATAGTGGTCGTGAACATTTCCCACGATTAGAAGACGTGTGAGTAATGAATGTGTTTATATAAAGAAATATCAATTGTATGTAACAAATGCATGAATTATTGACAAAATAAATTTGTGTGCAAGAAATTTAAGGAATATTACCAACAAATAAATCCGTGAGAAAATCTATCTATAATACATTCTTTAATTAGAAAAGTATATTTTTGTTTGGTATCCAAATTTGTTTATATTCTTGTAACTCAATTGCAATAACGAAATAAGATGTTACTAAAGCATTACCGGTGTATTGGCACTAAAATTTTACTACCACAACTATTTCAAGTTGGTGCACGTGACATTATTTAATGAAGTTCTAAGAACACATAATTTGACTAAAGTTCTAATAACACAATCCAGAATCTAGTTATAACAACGATCCAAATCAAGAGCTAACAACATATAATCAAAAATCCCGAATGAAGCTCTAAGAAAATATAATCTAAATCAAGTTCTATAAAAACATAATCTAAATCAAGTGTTAACATAATCTAGAAGTTCAAAATTAAAACTAAATGCCTAATTATTAGAGTAGTCATGTGCATGTTGGTATTGGTTTTGGTGGTTTTGTTGTAGATCTTCTTGATTAAGGTTGTTGTTTTTAAAATATGGTATGTGCATTGTAGAAACAATTTTGACAATAGAGTAATGAAATTATGTTGAAATTGAGAGAGACAGAGTGTCTTCGTAACCGAGTCTTATTTTGGAAGTGAACTCAAGTGGCGACTCTTTATTTCCACTCATTGACCGTTCCCAATCCAAGTGGTGTGAGTTCTTGCATTGTTGAGTTTATCGAGAAAGAGGTTCACCAGGAGAGACAAACTCATATACAAGAGGTTAGTGATCAATTTGTGGATGAATGATTCAGGATGACACATGTAAGTCTAGTATTTTTTGTTATTTCTTTTATTATAACGTGTATTGTATGTATGAGAATTTGAGAGGGATTTTGTCAAGTTAGATCAAAGGGCGCATCCTATGCTAGACAATCTGAATCATCTTCCACAGAGCCTGTAGAGGAAGAGAGAATAAGGGCTGACAGTTGGATTTTTGTTCTAGGTGGAAAGGAAAAAGATTGGTTCTACAGGTTGTAGAGCTCGCCTGTACTTTGAAAAGTGGAAAAAAAAACTCACGTATCAAGAAAATTCAAGTTTTTGTCTAGCTAAATCAGTGGGTTCATAATTATAGGGGGAAAATGAGAGGTTAAGTTGTCAATTACAATCACTTGTAAGTGTTGTCCTTCCTTTCCTTCCACCTAATGCACAAACCATATTTCAACAACAATGTTACGTCTAACAATGCGTTTATGCATATTACACTAACCAGGCTTATAAAATATTGTAACACACGACAAAATACATGTATATGTTTTCTAAAACACATAACAGATTTAAGGACAACCTTACTCTACATTGACATAAATAGTAGTAAAGTGTAAACTTATTCAAAAGCTAATAAAGAATCCTTTTTCAACCATGATACTTTTAAGTTTTCAAGAAGATAAAAATTGCACATTATGATGTATATATCAAATATCAAGAATAGGGATAAAGAATAGTTTTAACATAAGTAATAGAGGCAAAGATTTTCAATATGAAGGTTGAAACCTTGCTGTCTAACAATAGGAGGACTCAGGGCCCAAGTTGTCGACTATGCAGAACATGGACCATATAACAGAACTTAAACAAAGAGTTGCCATGTTGCAAAATCGCAAATCCAAAATCAGCTGCTACTGATATTCAGATAAAGCTAAAAGGGTAAACGAATCTTAGGTGCGAGTCAAAACAGTAGGATGACATCTAATTTGTGACTGTAGATGGACAATTTTGACTTTGCTCGAACCTTTGAAATGCTATTCTAAAAGACTCAAAGATAATAAGATCACTTGCACACAGTTCACTGACTCAGACATTGTGTTCTAACCTTAAACACAAATAGATATGATTACACATCTAAAAAGGATCCAGCAGACCCAGAATCAAGGACATCATGACCCTTTGTTCCCCCAGTCCCCAACTCTAACATCATTATTTTGACATAGCAATGCTTCAACTTTGCTACCAAAAATTCCAACAATGCACGGTTTGAAAGGAGTTAAGGGAGATGAAGCAGACTGGTGAGGTTTTCTTTTACCTTATCAGTTAACTTTCACACTTCTATTTGAGGTTCCAGAAAAGCTACTCTTTGCCTTAAATATAGTAGTAAATAAGCGACAAATAACATCCCCAATGAATATTGAAAAACAAAGCAACAGAATGAGAACAACAAGTAACATCCAAGAAAATAAGCAACAGGAAATCATTTGACCTGGCGAAACTAGTTGAGGAAAGGAAAACATGAGCATTATCAGAAACCAAAATGGTAAAGAATAATAGCATTGTTAGCAAACAAACAAGGGGATTGTACAAACATGAGATTGAGCCAACACATATTATGTTAACACATTTAAACTGTTAAAAATAAAAAATTTTGATAAGTCGTACTTCTGATTCAATAGCTCATGTCTATAATTTTTAGAACGTGAATTAAAATTTATACGTGTTTGTGTTCGTTATTAGCACCTTTATAACCTTTTGCGTATTTTGTCATAGAAGATGGACGTGAAACCTAACTGTAAATTTGCAACAACATAATTATCTACAATAACCACGAACAAAATACGAAACTGAAGTAGTTGGGTACTAGGGTGAACCTGACAAATAATTCTCGCTGACCACAAATAACATACGAAGTTAGAGCTGCGCAATTTGGTCACAGTGAGATTGGTTTTGTGCATATTAATAAAATGCAAAAAAGAAAAAGAAGAAGATAAAGCGTGAAGAAATGGGAAATGAAGATAACATTCCTCAATTTGTACATAAGGATTAGGGTTACAGCCTCTGTTAATTTCAAACTCGCTTTAATATACTTTTAAAAGAAAAATAGTTAATATGACATATTAAGTGTTGATACATGATTTTTAATTTCTTTTTTATAAATATTATACTGATTTTTTATTAAAAAAATACTTTTTTAATATATTACATTATTGTATATTTGTATGTAATATATTAAAAATTAATTTTAATATACATATTAAAAATTTTATATTTATTTAAAAAATATATAATATATTATAAAATTATATTAATATAAATATTTTTATAATATTTATATAAATAATAAATTTGACCATAATTAAAAAAACACCAAATTTATTATTGACATAAATTGTTAGTTAAATTATTCTTATTAAAAAATATAAATTAATAATATATTGGTTTTAATTACTTATTTTTTTAAAAATATTTATATTTAATTAGTTTTAATCTTAAAAACATATAAACTAATAAAATATAAATTAATAATATATAATGATGTAATATAAATTTAAGATATTTGATATTTACGTTAACCTCTGATATAGTATTGTGATAGTATTATGTTACACTTCACAAATCATTTCATGTGTCACAGTAAAAACCTCTTCTATAACAACAAAAAAATTTATAAAAAAATAAAAAACATGTATTAATCAATTAATAATTTTCTAAAAAAATACCTAAAATACTTCTTCCAAAATTAACAAGCTATTGATTTTTTTTAAAACGAATTAATTTAACACACCTTAGACAAAAATGGAGACAGTAATTAAGCCAAAGAAAAATTTAAAGGTTAAAAAACAAAAAAAATATACACGGAAGCATAACCATTAAACCTTTTTTTTCTTCCTTAACGCGGCTTGTCTCTACTCTACACTGGCCAAAGCAGCCACCAGTAAATCTTCATCTTCTCAAAATTCGCTTACCCTTTTGAGCTAAGGGTAAGATAATAGCACTTTTCAGTTTCAAACATTCAAAATTTACCCATTCATGTTCCTTCTTCCTTCACTGCAAAAACTCAATGTTCTCTTCGATCCTAAATTCTAATCAACCTCGGGATAAGGTTAGTTCATGTCTTTCACTTCCCTTATCTGTCTTCTTTTATGTTTTTTGTCCCAACAACTGAACAAGACAGGTATTGCACTCTTTCACTATATCCTCATAGTTTATTCAGGGAAATTCATTTGTTAACGCGTATTTGATATGTAAAATGTTTCACCATCCTTTTGAACAACCATGCACCTCTCCCCCAGGAAAGGGGTGGTCCAAAATTCCAATCTTTGAGTTACTTCTTTTTACCCCTTATATATTGGGAACCATGTCAATTATATTTTGAGTTTTGATACGCTGAGTACCTTGAATATGTTATTTGTTTGCCTGAGTGTTGTTTGTATAGCAACAACAGAAACAAAAGGAAGAATGGTTCGCGGGGAGTTTCAAGGCAGAGAACTTCATTCCAGGTCTTGTTATAGGTTTCATTTTTGGGTTGTTGTTAGATTTAACAAAGCCCAGTAGAAATCACTTGTCCAAGAAACAATTGTCATCTACCAAGCTTCAAGAGCAACTCTCAGTCTCCAGCAATGGTGACCGAGAACTTAAAATGGTTTGTCATTTCATCACATTTGCCACTCTCTCGTATCATTAGAGTTTTACCTGCATATGGTTTCCTTCATCACATTTGCCACTATCTGTACATCATGTAAGCAAGTCATTCATGTGTGCATGATTAAAATTGTTCCCTTACTATCCATCTGCTTTTTCTCAGTTAGGAGGAAAGTTTGCCGAATGAACTTGTTTAATCATTGATTATTATATGTGAACAGTTTTCTCTGTAGAATCACTGAACAAAACCCAGGAACAAGTTTATAATTCTTTTACTTTTTTAGAAGTACATAATCTGAAGCAGCAGTGTATACAAAGTTTTTTGTATCCATGAATGTAATTACTCAATAATTAGATTAATTGAACTCCTCTTCTGTTTCAAACAAATTTATGGGCAGGTAAATAGATGTTATATGCATTCCTTTTAATTGTTAGAAACATCTACCATTTTATGTACAAAAACCACTTCTGATTTTAAAAAGTGCACTGTTTTCTGTCAGGTTCTGGTCGTTCGACAAGACTTGAAGATGAAATCTGGAAAGATTGCATCTCAATGTGCTCGTAAGATATCAAACTATTGTTAACTTTTGAAGTGTTGTTTATCTCAAATTTGTCAAAAGTCTCTTTTCACCATTACAAATTTCCTTATCACTTCNAACCATGTCAATTATATTTTGAGTTTTGATACGCTGAGTACCTTGAATATGTTATTTGTTTGCCTGAGTGTTGTTTGTATAGCAACAACAGAAACAAAAGGAAGAATGGTTCGCGGGGAGTTTCAAGGCAGAGAACTTCATTCCAGGTCTTGTTATAGGTTTCATTTTTGGGTTGTTGTTAGATTTAACAAAGCCCAGTAGAAATCACTTGTCCAAGAAACAATTGTCATCTACCAAGCTTCAAGAGCAACTCTCAGTCTCCAGCAATGGTGACCGAGAACTTAAAATGGTTTGTCATTTCATCACATTTGCCACTCTCTCGTATCATTAGAGTTTTACCTGCATATGGTTTCCTTCATCACATTTGCCACTATCTGTACATCATGTAAGCAAGTCATTCATGTGTGCATGATTAAAATTGTTCCCTTACTATCCATCTGCTTTTTCTCAGTTAGGAGGAAAGTTTGCCGAATGAACTTGTTTAATCATTGATTATTATATGTGAACAGTTTTCTCTGTAGAATCACTGAACAAAACCCAGGAACAAGTTTATAATTCTTTTACTTTTTTAGAAGTACATAATCTGAAGCAGCAGTGTATACAAAGTTTTTTGTATCCATGAATGTAATTACTCAATAATTAGATTAATTGAACTCCTCTTCTGTTTCAAACAAATTTAAGGGCAGGTAAATAGATGTTATATGCATTCCTTTTAATTGTTAGAAACATCTACCATTTTATGTACAAAAACCACTTCTGATTTTAAAAAGTGCACTGTTTTCTGTCAGGTTCTGGTCGTTCGACAAGACTTGAAGATGAAATCTGGAAAGATTGCATCTCAATGTGCTCGTAAGATATCAAACTATTGTTAACTTTTGAAGTGTTGTTTATCTCAAATTTGTCAAAAGTCTCTTTTCACCATTACAAATTTCCTTATCACTTCCTTTTGCATCCTTTATGTTTCTTAGTTTATGCCTTTACAATTACATTTTGTTGCAGATGCTGCAACTGGCATGTATGCTGAGTTAATGCAAAGGTACTTTTGTTCTGAGAAGTGTCCATTTCAAAGCATTGGGCCATCTTCTAGATATCTAATTAGTGGTCCTTGTGAGTCCTGGGAATTCACCTACCAACATCTCCTTCATGAAGAAACAAGACCACATCTAGGTTCACATAATGTTTAAAAGATTGTGCCATGTTGTTCAACCTTCAGGACAATTTTTGTAGGCGCATGATGGCCAATATGGTTGTGACTTCACATATTCCAGTGCTGGGATGACATTGTTGTCAGTTTTTTTAGATGCATACTGTAAAGTTGGTTATACTCAAGGAGATAATTTCCATTACCTTAAAGCAAATGAAAATAGGAACTTGACATGTTTAGTTTTAAAACATTTCATATTGAACATGAAAATGATGATTATTTCATACCTGTGATTTTGCTATACTTCGTAGCGATATTATTATACCTTAAAACTTAAGTTCATTCAGGCTACATATTCTTTGATATAATAGCTTCTACCAGCAAGTTTATTGCTGTAATAAACTCCAGCACCTTGTACTTTTGCAGTGATAGGTCTCTTCTGAGACAATGGGAACAGTGTGGCCAGCCCAAAATTGTTGTGACTTGCAGGAATCAACAAGAGATGTAAGCATGTGATTTTAATCTGGATACTGTAAATTCACTTGTTCAGTAGAACAAGACCTACAATGCATTGATGACTTCTCTTTGGATCAGGAATAAACTGAAGGACTCAGCTGAGAGCATTGGCCTTCCTACATTTGTTGTTGCTGACGCAGGAAGAACACAGGTAATGCCTCATATTTGGCTAGAAATAAAGTATAGCATCACCTTATAAATCTAGCATAGAGTTGATACTTAGTGACGAACTCTCCTTGTGTAATTGTTAATAATAACAAAGTAATGCAATAGGTTGATTGTGGAAGGGTTTGCTTTTATCTTCTAACATCCTCACATTGTGGCTTTTGATAGTATCATTGCTAACGCTTTTATATGTTCAGGTTTCGGCAGGATCAAAAACTGTTCTTGCTGTTGGACCTGGTAAGCTTCCTGTTGCTTGTATGTCATGTAAGACCAAAAACACGTGCAAGAAAATCCAAATGCTTCTGCAGTTAATTGAAAAATTGAATGTCAGTCTTGGATTTGATTCTGATGTTTTTCAAAGTTGCTACCTTTTTTCTTTGTTGACAGCTTTTGTAATGTGCTGCATTTTTTGTCAGGACCAAAATCATCTGTGGATGCGGTGACTGGTAGATTGCCACTGCTTTGACAGCATTCCAGAAGCATGTCCTAATATGATAAATACCTAAGCTTGTTGCCACTTGGTCTTGTGTTCTAACGCATTATCTAACACCGCCATTAGTTGCCTAATTAGTCATCGTCACAGTGGCTTAAGAACATGGCAATGGTATGCTTGTGTTCAATAGGTGTAGTTGCATGAATTTCATCACCCTGTCTACCATGATGAACAAAAACTATTTATTTGTTATTATATAGAATTGTTGAAGGACAAAAGTTGTTTTTTTCTTTTACAAATAAATCATTTACTATATCAAAAGCATAAAATATATTTGATGCTTATTATGTAATTTGACAGAAAGTTAAATTAAGCTTTGAAGTTGAGGTCATCTGTTAGGCGTGGATTAGATTATCTTTTCTTAGAATACA